AGGGCCAGCTCTCCAGCACTGCCAGCTCACCCAATGTAGCAGTCAGAAAGGAGTAAAGCCAGCTCTTCTGCTCTCATTCATGCCCTTGGTGCAGACTCATGCACATACATGCTACCAAGGACAACGCTACTGTGCTGCCCAGGTGAGGTTCGGGCCAGCTCCCCCAAGTGCTCAAGCCAATGAGGTTTGGGGCCAGCCCTGCCCAACCCTTGGATATCTATATAGTCCCAGGCAGCAGCCCAGATCAGGGATGTTCACATGGCCTTTCGTGATAACATGGGCCATGGACATCGACACAGAACCCTGCTGCTTTATGGGCATGGACCCAGACAAGCCCTTAACAGCAGCATGGGCCAGGACATCACCATGGCCTCGGGTGGCAAGGCAGGCTATTCACATCAGGCCGCTCCTCACTACCCTTTGTGTCTCTAGTTCCACCTGTCTTTAGAGTGCTCACACTGTTCAGCTGCTCTTTCATTCCCATCTCTCCACCACATACTTTCATGTCATCTTGACTCCCGTTGTAAGGGGGGAATGAGGTGGGCCTCAGGGTCTCTTCTGCCTGCTTACCCACTGTGCCTGCAGTGCCCTTGCTTTATTATTAGGCTTAGAGCACTCCCTTTAGCATCTCTCAGTCTAACCTGGCCTAATTACCAATGCTCACATCATTCAGTTTAGCCTCATTTCACCAGGGTCTATAGGATAGGAGAGCAAAAGCATTCTTCTCCAATTCTCAGCTTCATATAGCAGTAATAACTCTCATTCAGCCATCACATATGAAAATAGTAAACAGATACAATAGGTTAATATGTCTAATATTTAAGAACCCCTACTTCCTCATGAGACAAAGTAATTGTCCTATTAACTTCTCTTCAGATACTCTCATTAGGAACAATGTAAGGAACTACAGATCTCATAGTGCTGAAGTGATGATATTCATGATCCCATATAAGAAAGCTCAGGATGCTATTCAGCCCTATTTCAATCAAATTAAAGAGCTCTTCTCCACTTAACTCCAAATCCAAGCTAATAGTGACTTACACACTCTTCCGAGTTGTTCAAAGATGGCTGTCACAAGACCTGTTTTTATCTTAATTTTTGAATATTGCTCAGGCTATAACACATTTTTTTCCGAAGGAATACATTTTCCTTTCTAGAAAAAATATCTTCAATGCAAATAAATTGAAGCCCACATAAAACTACCACACAGCTAACCTGTTAGGAAAAGTGCTCCCTGAAGCTCAACATGGCACCATTCAGTTTAAAGGGTTTGAATAATGCAATCAGTTCCAATGAGCTTCATAACAGCAGTTTCTTCTGAGGCAGATCTAATGGCCTAGCTCTAGATTACGAGAAATCTGAAAATGTCAGTCAAGAGATCTTCTGTGGTTTTCTGTGCCCACTCCTCCAACAATTTTGCAATAGGCTTTGGGCTCATTTGCCATCTACCTTAATATAGACACTTCTAATTTAGATAAAGGCGGGCTAAGCTATACAGATAGTAACTTATTTTCTTCCAATGGTCAACCAATCAACTCCCAATTATCCTCTCATTTCATCATATCTCCTTCCTCATTCAGTCTAGGCCCCCTTCCCCTGAAAGGTAAAATGACCCCTTCGACCCCTTGATTCAGGCACACAAGAACAACTCCCCAGCTTTAGGATAGCTTTGGAATGTTCATAAATTGAAGGGTATTTGTGCCTACTATTCAAATATTTTCCCAAATGAGACATATTTATCAATAAAATTTACCACATGAAATGGAAGATTTTCATGATTGTTCCTCCAAAATTACAAACAAGATTGAGGAGTATTTGAAATACAAATGTCCAATATTTAGAGTTAATAATCCTACTGTTGAGTCAAAGCCAATCAATACAAATATCTGGGGCCAGCAAGACGGTTCAGTGGATACAGACCTTGCCACCAAGCCTAATGACCTGGATTTGACACCCAGCACTCACATAGTAGAAGGAGAGAAAAAAATACCACAGGTTTTTCTCAATCTTCTACTTGTGGGCTATGTCACACACATACCCACACACATAAATATATATACACAAAGAATAAGATATAATAATAGTAGTAATAATGACAATAAAGCTGGACAACAGAGGCTGGTGAGATGATTTAGTGGATAAGGTACTTGTCAAAACCCCTGATGACCTAAATTCAACCCCTAGAACACACATGGTTAGAAGATCACTGATTCCTGTGGGTTGTCCTCTGACCACTATAAAGTTAAGTTTTAAAATCTGGATAGCAAATATTTGTTTTATACACACACACCACACACCACACACACACACACACACACACACACATATCACACACACACACACACACATATATATAATTATGTTAAAATTTAACATTCTTGGCCTCCAGAGGACAGTAAACAAAAACAGGCTGACAAAATATATTAAGTTACAGGAAGTAGTAGACTACAAACAATTGGAAATGTGTAGGATTAACTGAGCAATAAGACAGTGGTGTCTAATGTTTTATAAACTCTGTCATTTAAACTAGTTTTATGTCAACTTGAAATAAACTAGAGTCATCAGAAAGAGGAGAGCCTAAAATAAAAGAATGCCTTTATCATATGGGGCTGTAGGCAAGCCTGTAAGGCATTTTCTTAATGATTGGTGAGGGAGGACTTAGTCCATTTTGGGTGGAGCCTTCCCTGGGCTGGTAGCTCTGGGTTCTATAAGAAAGCAGGCTGAGCAAAGCCATGGAGATTAAGCCAGTAAGCAGCACTTCTCCATGACATCTGCATCAGCTCTTGTCTTCATGTTCTTGTCCTGTTTGAGTTTCTGTCTTGACTTCCTTTGATGATAAACTGTGAATGAAGAAGTATAGTCTGAATAATCCATTTCCTCTCCAACTTGATTTTGGTTATGATGTTTCATCATTTAGTAACCTAAAGTAAAATGCATACATTATTAAAACAATAATATGGCTTGTATCATCTTTAGTTACAAAAAAAAAAAAACCCACGAGATTTTACCTAAAAGTTGTTAGATAATACCAATGAAACTTTGCTTCTGGCAGAGAAACTAGGTGCTCTAAACAGTATCAGGAAGCAGAACTGAGAAAAAACTTCACGTGAAAAACCCAATGTACTTTTTAAGACTATATGAAGTTTAACAAGCAGAAAGGCCCAAGTAAGGATGCTTCAATCCCACTTAGAAGGGGGAAGAAAATAATCACAGAAGGCAGACAGAAGGAAAGACCTGGGTAGGAAAGGGGAGGGGGAGGTGAAAGGGGAACAGGATCAGGTACAGGGGGTTGGAGGGGGCAGGAAAGAAGACCAGAGGACCAGCAGAGTGAACGGAAATATGCAGCCTAAGAGACCCAGGAAGTAAGAGACTCTCAGGACTCAATGGGGGTACCCTTAGCGAAAATGCCCAGCAAAGGGGACAGGGCACTCAAAGAGTCTACCTCCAGTACGTAGACAGGGCATCAAGTGGAGGGATGGAATTACCAACTCACAGTCAAAATTTCTGACCCAGAATGGTTCCTGTCTAAAAGAACTGCAGGGACAAAAATGGAGAAGAGACTGAAAGAAAGGCCAACTTGGAATCCATCTCTTTGGGCTGGGTGCACCAAGGCCTGACATTATTACTGATGCTATGATGTGCTTACAGACAGGAGCCTAGCATGTCTGCCCTCTGAGAGGCCCTACCAGTCACTGACTATGACAGATGCAGATACTTACATCCAAGCATTGGACTGAAGTCGGGGACCCCTATGGCTGAATTAGGAGAAGGATTGAAAGAGCTGAAGGGGATGATGACTCTATCAGTCTCATCTAACCTGAACCCCTGAGCTCTCTCAGACACTGAGTCACAACCAGGCAACATATGAGGGCTGGTGCAGGGCCCCTAGCACATATACAGCAGAGTACTGCCTGGTCTGACCTCAGTAGGAGAAAATGTTCCTAATCCTCAAGAGACTTGAACCCCAGGGAAGTAGAACCCCTGGTGGGAAGTGGAGCACCCTATCAGAGGCAAGGAGGAGGAGGAATAGGATGAGGAACTTGTTTGTGGGGAGGCAATAGCTGGAATAAAAATAAATTTTTAAGAATAAAACATGTGCATCCTGAATTGGCCCCTCGACAGCTGGAGCAGTCTGGAGAGTGGGCTCTGTACCTCATCTAGACAGCACACTCCAGCTGACTCCTGCAGGAAAGCCAGTCCCACCCCTTGCTGGCTGCTGCAGGCAGGAGAGGTGGCCCTGGCCCTTGCCTGGGCATAATGGGAGAGCTGGCAGACTGAACAACTTAGCTACCACCCAGGCCCAGATCCAGGGCTTTGGTTTGGCCCACCCCAACATCTATCCCATGCATGAACTGCTGGAGAACACAAAGGGGGAAGCCCTGTAGAATCAAAGCCGAAGGGTCTCTTTCAACAACAGGATAGCTGAGAGGAACCCTGGTAAGGACCCAGTATTGATAATATAGCAGAAGTCAGAGGCCTTGAACCAGACTAATGACTCACTGCAATGAACATTTGCAAGTAAAACTGTTAGGACAAAAAAGGTACACTGTGGGACATATCATAGCATACTGCAGCTTCCATGGCAAAATGGTTTCGTTTTGTTCTGTTTTGTTTTAATTTTTATTTTTTGTGTTCTTTTGGCAGGGAGGTTGCAAGGTCAGAGGGAGGATGTGGAGACACAGGGAGATGAGTAGGATTGGGGTGCATGATGTGAACTTCACTAGCAAGTTTTAAAATGTGTTTCCTTTGTTCTGATTATTTTAAATAAAATCTTTTTGTCTCTCCAAGAAACTATGTCTTAGAATCCATCTTTTTACCAATCTATTTTCTTCCACTAATCAGTATTTCATATCAAAGAAACTGAGTCCAGACAGTGAGGTTTTGCATTTATAAACAGTTTAACTGAGTGTAACTTGGAGCATACATATATATGTATGTCAACAGATACAGAACTATTGGAAAGCAAGGCTTCTGTCCGTTGAAATATTTGGACAAATTCATTAATCCACTTTTATCACACCGTAGATTGCAGTAACAAAGAAGAAGCAAGAAAAAAATCCAATAGTGCCTGAAACCAAATGAAAAAGATTTCTGTTAGCCATATATCAGAGTAAATCAAAGAAACTTTCTTAAAAACACAAACATGTCTGTTTCAAGGCAGGCTGCTAAATCTTTAAAGCTCAAGATTTATATATTATTAAATAAAAGTCACCAGTTCAGCTGTCACAGTGGCACACACCAGTATTCCCAGCATTTGGGATGCTGAAGCAGGAAGATCAAACTAATTCAAGGACATCTTAGACTACAGAGTAAGATGCTGACTCAAAACAAGATAAATCGCCAGGCTCTCTTGCTAAACAATCAGGATGAGCAGTGAGGTCAGAAGTGGTCACCTATAAACAGGTGAGAGAATCCTTCTGAGGGAATTCTGTGAGTCTCTAACCAGAGCCAAAATTAAACAAAAGTGATACCCATATGGTCTTCATTTCAAAGAAGCTCAAGGTTATCTTCTAATACATACTTTTTGTAATGTGCTTCAAGGTTTAGAAATTGTAAGCAACCAGGCTGTGAAAGTGGCTCAGTCAGTAAAGTGTCTACCACACAAAAATGAGGAACTAAGTTCAGATCCCCAGCACCCCCCTAAACTCTGGGTGTTATGGGGTATATCTATAATCCCAGTATTGGGAAGATGGAAACATGTGGACTCTGAAAGTGCATCAGCCAAATGGGATGGCAAATTGGTTAGCTTCAGGCTCAATAACTGCTTCAAAAAATATTGTGAAGAGTGTCTGAGGAAGACACCTAACATGAATGTCTAGCCTATGTCCATATACACCTTCACACTGAGACATACACAGAGAGACAAATATAAGATATGATTAGCATGATACATAATAAAATGGAATATATAACCAGAGTGCCTATTGGTGTTCAAATAAAATTGTGTTATTATAAACATGAAAAAATCCTATTCTTGAGGATTCATGTTTTAAAAATCCCACAATCTCATAGAAGAAAAGTACTTATTAACAAAAAATTGATCTTAATACTATGGTTTAAAACACATAAAACAACAACTATGAACAAACCAAAGGCTCATCAAAGAAGTTATTAGCTATATTACAATCTAAGTAAATGATGGAATAATATAGTTACAAAAATGATAAATATAAGGGCTAATATAGCAGTATGGAGAATTTTTTGGTTGATGATTTTGGGGGTGTTTGTTTGGAGACAAATTCAGAACTGGCCTTAAAATTACTAGCCTTGAACTTGAGGTGATCCTCCTGCCTCAGTGTTTCAAGTGCTGGGATTACAGGCATGTTCCACCAAGACTGACTATAATCTTTATAGATGGTATTAGATGTAAAGAAATGTATATCTTAACTCCCAAGCATCACACCAATATTGGTGTAAACTGGATTAGATAGAATAGAACATGGACAGTAAAAGATACCTTTATATTTCAGGATGATAAAATTATAAGCAAATGTTTCTTTCATGTATAATTTCATATTGTAAGAACTTTCAAATGAAGTCAGGTGGCAGTTGCACACACCTTTAGTCTCAGCACTTAGGAGGCAGAGGCAGGTGGATCTCTGAGTTTGAGGCCAGCCTGGTCTACAGAGCAATTTCTAGAATAGCCAGAGACACAGAAAAACCATGTCTTGAAAAACTACACACACACACACACACACACACACACACAAACAGATGCTATTAAAGTTTAATGATGTAATTGAAGAAACTTCTAACAGTATTTCCATATTCTAACAAGTACCCAACACAAGGAATCTAGGGGAATATTTTTCTCAATAACAGAATTATAGAATTTTAGGTGGGTTTCAATAGTTTTTTTTTAAGATTTATTTATTCTATGTATATGAGTACACTGTTGCTTTCTTCAGAGATACCAGAAGAGGGCATCAGATCCCATTACAGATGGTTATGAGCCACCATGATGGTTATGAGCCACCATGTGGTTGCTGGGAATTGAACTCAGAACCTCTGGAAGAGGAGTTGGTGCTCTTGACTGCTGAGCCATCTCTCCAGTCCCAATAGTTGTTTTTTTTAATTGACCATGTCCAACCATTGAATAACTTTCCATCCAATCATGATACCATCTTGATACCATTCCTTCAAATCTCCCTGTCAAGGATCAGTATGATGCAACTAGACAGGAGTAGTCTGCTACTGTCTGTTACAAGATATTTGACATTTGATGAGTAACAATCTCATCAAGCCTGTTTTCTCAGCTGAAAAATAAGGATTATAGCACTTGTTCCTAGGAATCTAGTTAACTTTAAAGATTCAAGAGATGGGCTTGTTTAGTTAACACATATCCCTGCATCTATAAACCATCCCCCATTTCAAGTTGCTTCCTGTTCCCTATAAATCATTAAAATGTCTATGAACATAATCTCAACTTTTGTTGCTCTACTAATACACATTAGTCTTCTACCTGATACAAAACCCAAACATAAATCTTAACATTATTCTGGAAAAAGAGCTAAAGAATATGGAGTATGAAATTAAGACAACACTTAGCCATATGATGTAGAGTAAGCTACCTACTTCCTCCATTTCTCATATGGGGAAAGTATATTCCCACCTGTGGGGCGTTAAAGGAGTTGGTGTCGTCTTGTTGGAGGAAGTATGTAACTGGGGGCAGGCTTTCATAGTTCATTAGCCTAGCCCTGCTTCCAGTCCATGCTCTGCTTTGTGCTTGAAGACTTTTGCTCCTGCTGTAATTCCTGTCACTTGCTCCCATCACACACAAACACACACACACACACACACACACACACACACACACACACACAGTACTTACCCCTCTGGAACTACAAGCCAAAATAAACTCTTTCTTCCATAGGTTACTTTTGGTCATGTATTCTATCACAGCAACAGAAAAGTAGCTAATACATCATTCAGCTAAGGATTTTCTTGAGAGAGAAAAGTGATAATATATATTAGAATGTCTATTAAAGTTGATCCTCAAGAAACATAACACATGTTCTGACTTGGACTTGAATACATATTGTTATATGGGATTTATCTAAATAGTATTCCTGAACACTGATTTCATATTGGAAATGCCGGGTGAAAGTTCACCTGTGTATTTTGAGCCCAGAAGTTATGACTTCATTGACATGGCACACACAGTCTGAACATCAAGATTTTGAGAAGGTGAGCATATGGCTCAGCAATTAAGAGCACTTACTGCTCCTGAAGAGGACCTGGGTTTGGTTCTTAGCATCCCACAGTGGTTCATAACTGTCTATAACTCTGAGGATGTTATGACCTCTTCTTATCTCTGCAGGTTTCTATATACATGTGGTGCACATAAATACATTCACACATATACAGTAAATACATTTTTTCCAAAATATTCTAGAACACTTCCCAGGTGATCGAACATGAATCCAGGATTCAAAATCTCTCAATGAGCCTGTCTTTTCTGTTTATTTTTTCTTTCTTTCCTGTCTCTATTCCTTGTTTTAAAAAAAAAAAGTGGGTAAAATGTAGGCATGGTGGTATACGCATATAATACTAGCACTGTCAAGGCAGAGGGACAAAGACTGAGGATTCCAGGTCACCATGGGCTAAATAGCAAGTTCTATGCAATGCTGAGTATATAGTGAGACTCTGCCTCTGAAAAGAAAATACTCAAACATAAAGACTCTGAAATATGGCAAAAGTTTCCCAGTATTGTCACAAGTGTATATTTTACAAAGGAGTTCTGAGAAACTAGGTAAATAACACAGTTGGAAAGTCTACCATTCAATATTCAATAACCAGTATTTAATATAAACAAACCATTATGGAGTCTTTATGTAGTCATTGAGAAATTTAATATCTAAGACCTATTAATTACAGAATTTGAAACATGGAGTTAAGACATGTAAGAGAAAGACACAGAAACCTCAGCCATTGCACAGACATAAAGGGAAAACTTGTTTAGAGAGGATTTGGGGAGCCCTAATTTCCTGCTACCACATTTGATCCAGTGTGTATAAAACAATTTTCTCTAGTCCTGGCAATGTCCTGATAGGTAGGGCAACTTGCCTTAGAATACACAGCCCATAAGCAGTCCATCCAGATGGGATACAAGGCTAGTTCTTTCTGTAACTGCTCTGAGATGGATGTATCAAATGCTCTAAAATGACCAGAAACAACTTTGTACAGAAAGACACCAATGAACTAACAGCAGGTAGACAGAAAAAGCTGGTGATGTTAGTGGGCAGAAACCATCACTGATGTGAGTTTCAGGGAGTGTGAAATACACAACAGTCTAAGAATGCCAGCACATACATTCACTTTGGGAATAGCAAAATATTCCCTTACATTCAATCTTTTTGGTATCATATTCAAAACAAGAATACTGGCCAGTATAAGGTTCACCATTGGAATAGAGATGTAACTATTTGCATTGAGAGAAATAACACAATCTAAATAGTTTCCTTACTCTTGAGAACATAGACAGCTCTCTCTCAGCCTATAAAACCTAATAGTTTCTTTGGTTCATAAATATAACTGGAAATCAAACTAGTCTGGAATCGAAAATGTTATGCAATTATTCGAGATTTATACTAGTCTTGATGGCCTCTATCCTAGAATAATATAGAAAATGGGAAGGATCTACTATCATTCTTAATTTTATGTGTATAGGTGCTTTGCCTGCATGTATGTCTGCATACCATATGCACGCAGTACTCATGGAGGCAAGAAGACAACAACAGATCTTTTGAAACTTGAGTTAGACACAGTGGTAATTCAACATGTTGGTACTAGGAATCAAATCTGGGTCCACTGGAAGAATAATCATTGCTCTTGACCACAGAGCCTTAGCTCCTACCTTGATTTTTATAAGATGTATTGAGCAGCATGGGAATAACTCGAGATATTCCATTGTTATGATATATTCTTAAGTGTGATACCCATATTGATTCATGTGTACCAAGTCTCAGTCCCTGCAATCAACAGTTGTCCCCATGGTCAAGTAGAAGACTAAAAAGTAAATTCCATAGGCATTTTTTTTTGCTTTGGCTTGGTTTTTTATTCGATATT